CAAAATGTTCACCCTGTATAATCAATCGCTATACCTTTCTGTGCATTTAAAGAGTGGCTATGAAGATATTTCTTTGAAATTTTAACCACAGATGCTTCTAGTAAAGGCAAACATATCGCATATTGCAAAAATAAGGTGCGCGAATGCGTAGATCTTGCTTTTAGTAAAGAAAAACACAGCCATAGCCTCTTGGAGAGTGCTGATAAATGCATGGAAATGCGCTAGTTATTCGCCTTAAGCCGAAAACCTTTTTAGAACTAAATGAGTTAAATAGAGAATACAGGAGCTTCCGTAGAGTACAGAGGCCACATAATTACAGAAAGCTAGTCCGTTCGTTACAAGTTTTTAAACTTGCAGTTGAAATAAGGACTTGAAATTTGGATTACGGCCATAATCGACCATTGCGAATTGAAACAAAATAATTTCAAGATGGCGCCGCTTTCGTAAATACCGGAAGTGGCGCCATCTAGGTTTTTTAAATAGAAACATACAATTTTCTATTTTGTTCTAAATGCGCCATTTTATTCTGAACGTGAATCTCCCTGTACATACAGTGTGTCCCCGGATGGACTGAACAAGAAGGAAAAAAATTTTAATTTTAACTTTACGCAAAAATGTCATTCTTTATAAAAATTTTTGCTTGCCTCAAAGCCACCTATTCTGAAATAAAAATCTTGATATTCCTTTTAGCAGCTGAGAAAATTACAAAAAACGCAAAATAGTAAAGTTAAAATTAAAAATTTTTTCCCTCTTGTTCAGTCCATCCGGGGACACACTGTATCTTGTGCTTGAAGTTTCGTTTTTAATTTATTCATGTGCTGGCAAAGCCTTAAATTTTGCAAACAGACATTAGAGAGAAAAAATTACAACCTTAATAAGGGTGCCGTTTTTATACTTAGAGACGACCAGAAGTATGAACTGTTCTGGAATATTCTAATTATTTCTTTTTCAGCCTATTCAATGAAATTGCTGTAAAATTGCAGTTAACAGCTTAACTTAATTGGAATTCTCTATATAGGGAAACAGTACGTAGATGTTGCTGTGAATTTAGAACGAGATTTAGAATCTTATAAAATGGGGAAGGCGAGTTCGGCATAAATTAAAAGATCAATTGAATTACGTATTTAGAAAAATGCATTGGGGGAATATCGTAGGTTGATTCATACCGCGCATACTAATTAAAGAATGGAATAATAAAACCGGTGACAATATTAAAAGTCAAATGTTCAGTTTTGGAATTAGAGATTAAGTAGCAAAAAATATAAACTACCTACAATAAATAACGTTTAATCTCAATTAGAACAAAACAAACAATTTTTATTAATCCTCGTAGACTTTTACAATGTGTAATCGAGCACTTCGGGGATATTTTAACGGTTCCCCTCTTACGAATTAATGATCAATATCAACGGTTGCTTTAGGGGAATTCTGATTAAGTCGGAGGGTCTTTAAATGAGAATCTCGATTGCTTCTCGAAATTGTTACGAAATTCTACCTAAAACGCATATGTTTGCTCTCATTCGATAAGTAAGTGGCTGCACTTAATTTTTATGTGTACATAATTTTCGAGCCACTCGACCGGCGTGCATTAATTGGTCGATTTAATTAACTCGATTAGTTGTCGCCCAAAGCGAAGACCAAAAATTATGGCAATGAGGAAATAATATTCGTATGAGGTTGCTATAGATTTCGGATTATTGATTGTCCCCCCAGCACTCCCCCTTTGTTGTCGGAAATGAGAGACTGTTGGGTAGATATAAAAATAAAGCGTTTCCGCGACTTTCTGGAAGATCTCTCCTCTTAGAAGTGGATTAAATTGAGATCGTCGAAGCGATCTTGTGTTTGAAGTGGCTCGAATGGTGCATGTTAAGTAACGCTTATGCATTAAACGCCACAGAAATACGTTAATTGCGTCTCGTTAAAAGTTAAGTACGTGAAAAGTGGTGAACGTTATTTATACAGTTATAACTGAGGAATGTTTTCCAGACGGAATTATCTGAGGGTATATTGGAGTTAGGGCTTTGGGCCAAAATTATTCTGCCATTATGAAAGGGTGTCTAGACTTCACAACTTAATCTAATTTAAATTTTAACGATATGGTTCCAGCAAATCCTTTAAAAGTCTTAATTTCGGTTCTTTGAAATGACGTTCAGTGGCACAGAAAAACGCACACTCCCATGCCATATATGAGAGCAGCAACCAAAGGTAGCAGTCCATTTTGCTAGACATTTGCTTTCCGATTACTAACTTCAACAGTCCCCTTAAAAACGGGGACAGAATATCAATTTCCTGTTTATACGATTGAAAATTTACAATTTACATATTTGACTCAGTTAGAAGACTTTCGTTATTTAAGATTGATTTTTCTATGTTTAACTTATTAATCGAATTAATTAATCTATTTTCCAGTGTACTATTTCGTTACACCCCATTAATTTTGCCGCCCAACGTTGTTCCCGGTTTTTTTCAAAAATGTGAACGAAAGTCAAATTGAGTTTGTAAATCAAGCCGTAAGTGCTTAAATTATTTTGATCCCTTAATCGATATGTACACGTCTTTGTCTACGTTTTCGCAATTTATGCGCTATCTGTAATTAATTCGCCGTTTCTAACCGTTCCCGTCATTTAGAAGAAGATGGCAAATTAATATTTTAGAATTTCAATCACGTTAAGCCATTATTAGCTGGTTTTTGTTTCCTAACTTTAAAACGAACATTAAAAAGTGCCATTCTACATACTTGTGTGGGGTATCGATAGAAGCGCTCTTAATTAAATTGAATATAAAGACCAACTGCAGAATTTTAGGACGTCAGCAGACCGCACAATTAATCAAAGAAGTTGTAAATTTTGTACGTTCTTACGTACTTTCGCTGTGTCGGCTGGAAGAACGCCGATCCCTCCAGTGGCGTGTACGTGGTTAGGGGTGCTGGCATATAACTCATAGCCGAGTATAAACGGTGAAGCAGTTGTTTAGAGGGAATCTTTTTGCCTTTTGCACTTTCGCAAGCTATGTTTTATAAGTACCGTAATCTCTAGGGCCCCGTTTAATTACAAGGTAAGCTTTTTGTTACTTTCCGATTATAAGATTGTTTCGCTTTCCTGCATTTCCTTTCCCGTAGATACCGCTACCGAATTCGATTATTTACTGTTCCTGCTTACCTTTACCTGCATTCATCAGTGCTCGATCGCCGCTTACCCTTTAGAACATTTTTCTCTATTCTCATCCGTTCGGGTGATATTGACCGCCAATAGAGAGTTAATTCAATTTGCCATCAAAATTACACTGCAGAAAGAACAATTCGTCAAGAGTTTATTTTTCAATTTCGAATAATTACCTTCGTTTTCTTCATTCTAAGAAGATCATTATCTCCAATTGTATTCTTGTATTTGAACCGTTTCTCCCACACGAAATGTTTGGCAACAGATACGGATTTCACTTCATAATTTGCATGTGCATAGAATGCAAAACTAAATATAATAGCGCCCAATTTGCATTTACGAATTTCCCTTTCCCTTGCGGCCGTCGCGATTTCATTCGTTCATAATTACAAACTTGCACCTTTAACATTCACTTTACGAGTACTCTTGGGCAACATCAGAAAACAATAACTACTAGAGTTGTATATTAAATTCACGGCCGCTACATTTAAAATGAGTTCGCCATTAATAAAAAGGTTCCCACATTTTTTTCTTTTTACATAATTCGTTTTTAAATGCAAGTAAGTTAACTTAATTGGGAAGTTCTGGATGAGGAAATGTAACATGGATTAAAGCAATTTTCGTATAGGGCGAATAAAATTAAAGAAAAGCGCGATAAATATAACAGCCCATTAATTCGCTAATAACGTATAATTAGAAGGTTAATTATCAACTTTCACATCATGTAAAGATTAAATAATTAATTCGCTAACCTCTCGGTTTTTATTTAGGACTAATTAAATTATGCCATTAATTTTATTGCGTTACGTGCGCAATTCTGTATCAAATACCGAACAATCATCCGACGAATTTCCCTGCACTTTTTTATGACGCTACAGTAATTACAATTACGTTACGTAATGGCAGCCTTGTCCTCGAAACGAGAAGATTGGGTCTTAAACTTGACCGAGTTGAATGGAGGAATCGAACTGTCGGATACGCATGAAATGTACAATCCGAAGGGAAGTTTTCATGGTGGCGAACTTCATGAATATGAATGAGGTTGCGTTTCCTTTGTCGGATAATAATTGAATTAGATTCTTAGATTGTAATGAGTGTCTAAATATACAGTTCTTCGTAAGTTGTCGTCTTGGAATTAATATTTCTCAAAGATTTTGTCAAAAGGGTAGGAGTACCTTTATGACAAGTATAGCAAACGGTCCCCTTTGGCATAATACTAATTGCAGTCGTGCATTGATTTAGCCGAAGATAACTTTAATGAAAGCGATTTTTGTTTTAGTGACCACCATTGATGACATTAATATACAATCAATAATATCAGATTGGCAAATTGTACATATTCGGCATTATGTAATAATAATTTAAGAGTATATTATTGATTTTCATTTGTAAAATAAACTCAGGCTACTTTAATACGCGATTATTAAGTATATTGCATTGTTGCAATTGAAATTATTAAATAAATCCTGTTCTCCTGCATTTGACAAACTGACATCAAATGGAACTGGAAATGACAATTCTTTTCTTAAATACTCTTGCATTGTCAAATGTTGGTAACAGTACTACTATAATCAGTTTAAATAAACATTTCCGATTACGCTATTTGTATTTTGCATTTTGTGCAAATGATGTCACAATTAGTTTCCATCCAAGCAGATCTGATCCTGAGAAGTTTATAAAATCAATTCGATTTTGTTTTGTCTTTTACAAAGGACGACCCACCAATCGGGAAACACTGTGTATTAACACTGAAATTCCAATGTTTATTAATATTCAGATATATAAACACTTTCGCTGAAACAGCTAATAACTATAGTAAACTCGATAGTAAATGTGACTTACATTAGAAGAAACGCCAGTCCGCTTAGAAGATCGAAATCTAGAAAAAAAACTACAAAAATAAACAATGGATTGAAGTCGTGCAATAATTTCTTAAATTTAGATAATGGTACATCCAGAAATGTTCGAAAAATGAATCAGATTTTCCGGAACATTGAAAGTAATTAATGAATTAAGACGAGGTTACCCGAATTTCCAAAAAATGCCATAGATTTTCCGGATTAATGAATACGACGAGCCTACTTGATTCTGCTGCTCTACCAACCCAACCCACTATACATTTACAAATATCCATGCCCGAACCCGGATTCGAACCAGGGACCCTTAGCACCACAGTCCAGTTTCAACTGAACTGCGCCACACGGGCCGGCATAAGACCTACAATGATACAAACATTAATTTTTACTTTTACAGGGTGTTACATATAAGTATGTACAATAATTGGGTAGTAGAGGTGATCAAAACAAGCACTTTTTCTAAATAAATAGAGGGTCTAACGTGTTTCGTTTGGGAGCTATTCTCAAAAAAGTGGTGAAATTTACATTTCTTCGTTAATTTTTTTCCCAGCAACCCTAAGAGTTAGAAAGAATAGGTTTTGGGGTAAGTATGCCCTTTCGATTTTGCAAAAATTGTTTCAAAATTCCTACCACGAAAGGGCCCACCCCTAAACGGAGGTGCGAAAAAATTCTGATTTCGACGAAATTGGATTTTTGAATATGAAAATGACGAATCTGAAATTGGTTTTTGAAAATTTCGAAAAAAATTCCACTGCAATTCTTGGCCGGACAACGAGAAATTGTTGTGTATATACGTACGGGGGGAGGGGGGCTCACTTCTGGTTTTCTTACCCCATACGGGAATTAAAAAAATTAAATTAATGTTTCGGAACATTAAAGACCCGATTCACGAAAATTTACAAAGCATTCACTAGATTTTCCGAAACATTGAAGACAATAATGGAGATTTAAAGAAAGCGGAGGAGATATGAAAGAAACGCAAAGAACCCTCGACAGAGAATGGGGAAGAGGCGACTTAGTGGATGAAGATGTAAAGAAATCATAAAGACGTTCAAAGGCGACGATTAAAGGAAAACTGAACAAGGCGCGAGGAGAGCAGGCATTTATTTATTTATTTATTATTTATACAAAAGATATTTTTACGTAGAATTCAGTGGCGTAGTAAAAAAAAATATTTTTGAACGCGTTTTCTGAGATTTGAACTAAAAATGGTGTTTTTTAAATGTAACATCCTGTATATCTTATCGTCAATTTTTTGCATTCTTTTCCGTGATTACATTGATCTATTAAATTAAAACATTGTATTTTTGTATATAACCTAATTATATATATCAAATTTTTCACATTTTTAAATGACCGTCAGCCATTTTTATTGATTGGTATCGGCTGGCTTAGTTACCATGGATACGATAAACAAAACAACATCTTCATGAATCCATGGCTACCTACATTAAAAAAAAAACACGTTAAGATATAGGTACATGGTGTTGCATTTATACCAGTTTTGGATGAAATTTCAGAAAAGGTGGTTTAAAATTTTGACAACGACACTGAATTCTACGTAAAAAATCCCAAAAACTCAAACTTTTTCGCCCTGTGACAGCAATGAACAAGAAAGACGGAAATATGAGGCAATGTAGGAGTTAGAGAAGCCACGAAAATTGTGAAAGAAGTCAGCGTGTAGATATGAAGCAGGCATGGCGGGTTGGGTGAAGGGGGTGGAAAATAAAGACGAGAAAGGAAGGAAAAATTTCTCGAAAAATCACCTGAAATCATTTATGTAAAACCAACTGAAATCGTTTCACCCCTGGTAGGAAGTGTGAGAGGAAGAAGGAAAATCAAATTAAGAGAAGAGGGCATAACGAAGGTACGAAGAAAACGCGAAGAGGACTCGAGTAAGACAAAGACAAAAGACGGGATGAAAAAAACGTAATTGGTGTCTGAAGAAGGCGAGACGTTGACGTGGGTGAAGAATATAAGAGCGCGAGGAGAGCTTGAAAGGAACATGAAGGAGAGAGACGGTGTGCAGGAAGCGTGTGAAAGATGTCGGATGGAGGCATAAAGGAAGCTTGAAGCAGACACAACGGAGGCACTGTGAATGAGGGGTAAAAAGTAGACGATGACCACTTGAAGGAGGTGTGGAAGAGAAGCAAAGTACAGGGTTGCCAACTAAGAATGCGAGGTACTGTATCTGAGAATCTATCCATCGTAGAGACTTGCGGTAAAAAAATTTATTACTAAAACGGGCACGAGAAAAACCTGGAAAATATTTTTAAGTTTTTGAAATGACCGCTAGGGGGCGTAACTGCAATCTGGAATCTAAAAAAGTGATGTTTCTGTGAATTCCGCTATATTAACCTATATCTCTAAAATGAAGTGGTGGGGGGTATACAAAGGTTTCCCTAAAGAACACCCTGTATCTTCGAAATGGCTGAGCCGATTTAAACAAACTCGGGTTAGTTCAAAAGAGCTATTCTTCAGCTACAAATATTATACTATTTGAAGTTTTGTTAGTTTCACATATCACCACTTGAGGGCTTTTTCGACATTCCGACAGAAATGGTTAATTTTCTCAAAAAAATTAAACTCGCGAAAACAGCATCTCGATATCTTGAGAGATATATATATATTTTTTTATATCGTGATGGCCAGCATTTCGAGCATTTACGGCGGCATTAAAAGCTTCCTTTTTTAAATCGATCCACCTTAGGGCAACAAATTATATAATAAAAATAATTCCGGAACAATTTGCTTAAAAAAATAAAATTTTGAGGGTATAAAATTTTCTTTGGCCTAAATTTTAGGTTAGGAACAAGATATCGAGATGCGGTTTTCGCAAGCTTGTTTAGGCATCATTTAGCTACTTTTTCATGAAAAAAAAATCGAACCAGTGCATTTAATTTTTTTGAGAAAATTAACCATTTCTGTCGGAATGTCGAAAAAAGCCCTCAAGCAGCGATATGTGAAACTAACAAAACTTCAAATTTTATAATATTTGTAGCCGAAGAATAACTCTTTTCAATTAACCCGAGTTTGTTAAAATCGGCTCAGTCGTTTCAAAGATACAGGGTGTTCTTTACGGAAACCATTGAATACCCCCCACCACTTCATTTATAGAGATACAGGAAAAATTGTCAAAGAAAAAAGGTTCACATTATTGTCGTCTTCAAAGACCGGGTATTTTTTGTTAGGAATTCACAGAAAAATCACTTTATTAGATTCCAGATTGCAGTTACGCCCCCTAGCGGCCATTTCAGAAACTTAAAAATACTTTCCAGGTTTTTCTCGTGGCCGTTTTAGTAATACATTTTTTTACCGCAAGCCTCTACGATGGACAGGTTCCCAGATACAGTACCTCGCATTCTTATTTGGCCACCCTGTACATCACACAATCAAAATGGCACAAGGAGATGTAGAAAATGAGCGTTGTTGAAGACACAAATGGGACGTGAAGGAATTTTTTTTGGATATTTTTACCTAAAATGGCACAAGAAACCACGTGCATCAGCTGATTATTTTGTAATAACTAAATGCGAATTGCTATTGTTAATCGAGAAAGTCTTATATTGCTAATTGCAAGGAAATCGATGAGTAACTACCGAATTGAACACTGACATTTATTGTTAATTACCTGGCGATCCATGCGAATTGAATATGGTAGCCCAATTTCACGTGCAATTATTCTTTTAATTAGGCGAGGCTATCGTGATTGTTGCGGATTTTTAATTAAATTCGTTTGTGGGCGAAACGATAAACTTTCCGAAACTGCACCAAAACGTGGCCAGTAACTGGGAACAGTCAAAAATGTGAGAGGAATCTGAGAAATTTCAACATCTCGGATCATTTAATTATATAATGAAACGGTAGTGTGTTTTGGGCGCGTATTCCAAGCTGCTCTAACTTTTTCTAAGCAAGAAGAAGAAGAACCTCGGCCAGTTTTGAGCATTGCTTTAAACAACTTTTCGGCATGTTGCTTCAAATTTAGTAGTATAGCTAACTGTTCTTGCATAATAAATAAATATGCAACAAACTCGCTTATCTAGTCCTATGGAATTCGACACAATTTGTCCAGATTTGCTGTACTCGCTTCCGTTAGTGACAACTTATCAGCGTATTCATTCAAATTTTTACAAAAAAAAAAGGTGCGACTCACGTCCTTGATTATGCGCCTTCGCAGTTCCGGTTTTGTATATAATTATTGAAATCCCAACGGATGCCCAAATAATTACGTTTTGTAGGTAGTTGAATTCACCCATAAAGTTTTTGTTTAACGAAAGTCCTAAACGCATTCGTTCGGTTACAATGACGCCAAATTTAATTTTGAAAGCGACCCGATTAAAACGAATACGGCAATCTAAAATTAGATTCCTAGATTTATTTTAAGTTTATTGCACTCGCGAAATAAAAACTTCCTCGTCCATAAAAGAAGTGTATGATGGGTCATTTCGTGTCAAATCGGAACGAGAATTTTGATGTATCTCTTCTTCAGTCTTTGGACCATTTTGTAAAGGTACCGGTTTTTTTAATTTGAGAAAAAAAACTTCGAGCTTTCAAATTTTGCATATAGCTATACTGTCTAGCTTGAAATTCTCAACATTAACTAAAACAAGTTGACATTTAAATTATTTCAGATTTCTCAAAAAATTATTAAATTATTAATATCAATCCAATGGACTGCATGGACAAACAATTTCATTTCAAACTGCTGGGCCGAGATTTGGGAAATCTATTTCGGTGTCACACAAGCGCTACAGCTTAAATAACGCAAATAAAATAATACAAATATAAATAGATATAAGGGAATATATCGATCACGATAAGGGGTCGAGAAGGAAGACTGTAGTTGGTAGAAATTAATTCCTTTCGTTGAGACCTTTCATTAGAGTACCATGAAGCATAAATAAAACTAGTTCCACTCCCCCCCCCCCCAAGGGGTCAGAAAAAAGGGCAATAGTTGGTAGGAAATGGTTCCTTTCGTTGAGACCTTTAATTAGAATACCATGAAAGATAAAATTAATAACCTCCCCTCACCCAC